GACCCAAACGACCTGTCCTATATACCATCATCAGAGTCGGATTCAAGTTATTGCAATACTAGTATTGATGATGGCGTGGATGACGAATATGTCAGTAACACCAAGGGTCACAAATTTCTAGTGTATGAAGAACAGCTTGACCAATTGTTCAAATCCTGTAAGATTTGCCACAGACAACTATTGCGCATTACCAAACGTGCAAGGGGGTCAAATGTGCTGATACAGTGGGAATGTGAAAATAGACATAATGGACAATGGTCATCCCAACCAACGGTAAATGGAACTTCTCTTGACAACGTAATGACCAGCGCAGCAATTCTCTACTCAGGAACAACATTCTCAGCTCTTGAAGGTTTCGCTAACACACTAGGCCTACAGTTTTTCAGCAAATCAACGTACCACGATGTGCACAAAACGTTTCTAATGCCTGCTGTAAATGAGCTGTATCTTTTGAAGAGAGAATTTATCCTTGACTCTTTCCGAGGGGATGATGTGGAGGTTGAAGTGATCGGTGATGGTCGATTTGATTCGCCAGGCTTCAATGCCAAGTATTGCGTGTATACTGTGATGGAGGATACGTCTAAACAAATCCTCGATTTCAGTGTTGTACAGGTCACAGACACGGGTACCTCACAGGCTATGGAGAAGGAAGGTTTAATGAGATCAATGGATTCACTCCTAGCAGAGGAGGACATAAACATTGTGAGGCTGACCACAGACCGCCACAGAGGGATCGGGGCCGCAATGAGAAAGGAGTATTCAGAAATAGATCACCAATTTGACCTGTATCATGTCTCGACAAATGTGAAAAAAAAACTGCGAAACAAAGCAAAGCAGAAAGACTGCAAGGTCAAGGCCAAGGATCTAGGGAAATGGATAGCGTCTGCATCCAACCACCTGTGGTGGTGTTCTTCATCATGTGGAGGGAATGCATTAGTGAGTCTAATATACAGTTTTGCTTTCAGTGCATGTTTGTGTATCAAGTCATGCCTTCCATGGTAAATACATGTACCGGTAGTCCGGTACTATATTTTTCTTACCACGCACACACTGACAGACACTCACATGCACACACACACTGACACTCACATGCACACACACACTGACACTCACATGCACACACACACTGACAGACACTCGCATGCACACACACACTGACAGACACTCGCATGCACACACACACTGACAGACACGACAGTACCCCTGCTCACCTCAACTGACTTTGTTCCCCGGCTCTGCCACGCCTCCGTTTGCCGCATCACCACCATCCCGCCCCGTTCAGTCATGGCTGTTCCCATTTCTCTTAAGCCCCGGAATGGCACTGGCACCACCCCCATAACTATGTTGGCTTGCTGGAACCACGTAACCATGACGACCGTGGCCTTGCTGTGGCCCGAACAGTCACGTCGGCCAATCACTCCAAAGCTTACGTAGAAGTTACCAACACCACTGATCGACCTGTCGCCCTCCAACCCAACACACCGATGGGCACATTCTGGGCCCTTGAGGACGATGATGTCGCGGACTACATTGGCCCATCCACACCCACACCAGCCCCGACACGCCCTCCTATCGACCTTCAGCAGTCAGAGCTCTCCCCGGCGCAAGCTGAGCAGCTGCGCAAGCTGGTGGACACCTACGCAGATGTCTTCAGCACCGGCTCGAGAGACAGGGGCCGGACTAATCTCACCTCTCACCGCATTCACACGGGTGACTGTCCGCCCATCAAACAGAGACCACACCGCACACCTCTCCACCGTCAGGCAGAAATTCATCGACAGGTGGACACCATGCTGGCGGACGACGTCATAGAACCAAGCCAAAGCCCCTGGGCCTCTCCAGTGGTACTGGCTCGGAAGAAAGATGGCTCATTTCGGTTCTGCGTTGACTACCGCAAACTGAATCAAGCAACGGTCAAGGACGCCCATCCCCTCCCACGTACTGATGTCGTCCTCGATGCGTTGGCCGGGCCCGCCTTCTTCACAACCCTTGACCTGACGTCCGGCTATTGGCAGGTGAACATCGATCCCGACGACCGTGAGAAGACCGCCTTTACCACTGGACGCGGTCTGTACCAGTTCAAGGTCATGCCGTTCGGCCTCACCAACGCGCCGTCCACTTTCCAGCGCCTCATGGAACTGCTTCTCGCTGGCTTAGACTGGCAGACGTGTTTGGCTTACCTGGACGATGTCATTGTCTTCTCGCGATCGCGGACATTTCCGGAACACCTGACAACCTTGGAAGAGGTCTTCCGACGCTTCCGTGCCGCCAATCTCAAACTGAATGCCAAGAAGTGCCAGTTCGCCAAGCCGCGGGCTCGTTTCCTCGGCCACATTGTTTCCAAGGCAGGGATTCAGCCTGACCCGACCAACACAGAGAAAGTCCAGCAGTGGCCAACGCCAACGTCAACGGCTGAAGTCAGAGCTTTCCTGGGCCTGGCATCGTAATACCGCAAATTCATACAGAACTTTGCTCGCATCGCACGACCCCCTGATAGCCCTGACAAGGAAACACGTTGCTTTTGTCTGGGATGACGCATGCCAGACAGCGTTTGAAACCCTGCGGGCTGCCTTGGTGGCCCCACCTGTGCTGGCATACCCGGACTTCACTGCTCCCTTGATCCTGTACACGGACGCGTCCAACTCTGCTATCGGGGCCGTCTTGACACAACCGGGCGAGTCTGGTGAACGTGTCATCTCGTATGCAAGCAAAACATTGACCAAGCAGGAACGAAACTGGTCCACATATGATCGAGAGCTATTTGCCGTGGTCTGGAGCATCCGCCATTACCATTCGTACTTGGCGGGACAGTCGTTCTCAGTTGTCACTGACCACAAGCCCCTGATCGGCCTCAGCCCCAACCTTATCTCCACTGACCCGACCGGCCGACGTGCCAGATGGGCGATTGAATTGTCCACATATGACTTCGCCATCACGTATCGGGCCAGCAAGTCTCACAACAACGCTGACGCCATGTCTCGACGACCAACACCCGGGAGGACAGCCAACGCAGGACAGGCTACGGCTGTGGCACCACCACGGCCAACCCCTACATCGCAACATGCTGCACAACAGCCACTTACTGACACTGCAGCCAAGGACTCGGCAAAACCAGCACCCTTGTCGACGACCCCAGCCACTAGCGATTCCTCCGTCAATGCTGTGGACCAACCACAGGATGCTCCGGACTCTCTCACCCTGTCCAACCTGCAACAGGCCCAACGAGCAGACCCTGACATCGCTGAGGTGCTCCGCTGGAAACAACGCGGACGACGACCGCCGTATGCTGCTGTCCGTACCCGTGGCCGTTTTCTGAAGGCCCTATGGCACCAGTTCTCCACCTTACGAGTGACTGATGGACTGCTTTGTCGCCGCTGGCGACCGAACGCTCGCTGTCGTATCCTCCACCAACGAGTATTACCCAAACCGCTCATCCCGACAGTACTCCAACAACTTCACAACGGTCCCTGTTCCGGCCACCTGGGTCCTACAAAGACTCTCCAACGGGTCTATATCAGGTTCTACTGGCCGGGAATGACCCAGGAAGTAAAGCGTTGGTGCCGTTCCTGTACCAAGTGTGCCACCCGTGCCACACCAACACCCTCCGCCCGAGCGCCCATGCAACCCATAAAGGTCAGCCAACCCTTCGAGAAGGTTGCCATGGACTTAACAGAACTCCCTGTGTCGAAAAAGGGTAACAGATACTGTCTAGTGGTACAAGACTTCTTCACCAAGTATACAAACGCCTATCCCTTGGCGCGACAGGATGCCGCCACTGTAGCACAAGTGCTCTTTACACATTACATCCGGGAACATGGTGTACCTCAGTCTCTACACTCGGACCAGGGCCGTCAGTTTGAGTCCACCGTCATGAAGAACTTATACGCTGCCCTGGGTATCCGGAAGACCCGCACAACCCCATACCACCCTCAATGTGACGGGCTGGTGGAGCGGTTCAACAGGACACTGAAGGAAATGCTAACCAAATATGTCTCGGAATCTGGAGACGACTGGGATGATCATCTCCCACATGTATTGCTTGCATATAACACCTCCGTGCACGCCTCGACGGGCTTCACACCCTTTTACCTCACGCACGGGAGGGAGGCCACCTTACCAACAGACATACTCATGGGCGCCGCCCCTACCACGCAGTCGCTGAGCAGTCTCCGGACCGCGTTCCGACAGGTGCGACAGAACGCCCAGTTAGCGAGCGGCAGGCAGAAATTGGCATATGATGCCAAGATCTCGCACCATGTGCCGTATCAAGCAGGCGATCGGGTGTGGCTGCATGATCCCACAACGGCGCGACAAAAGTTGAAGCCTAAGTGGAAGGGGCCATACACAGTCACGGACCGACTCACTCCGGACGGGGTCACATACCGCCTCCGAGATCCAGATGGCCGTACCCAAGTGGTACACTACAACAGGCTGAAACGATGTTTCGACCCTCCCCAGGGAACCACGCCCACCACTACGACAGCGAAAGGCCGTCAAGTCCGACTCCCACCCAGGTACAACGACTTTCTCGTAGGCTAGTGACAACCTCGTGAAACCTGTGTTCACCCCTCGATTGACGAGGGTTTGGAGTTGGACCTACTTTCACCCCTAGACGGACAAGGGTCGGACCGTTATGCGGGAACATTCTACTGAGTTGTGGCATCTGTATAACCAGACTTCTACCCAGACCAGTAATTCTGCCACCTCCGACTGAACTACTTCCTTCTTGGCAGAACTCAATAGAGTACTTTGTTATTCATTATATAGTATACTTACTATGCGACTCATTTGTCGGTTTGTTATATTTTGACTTTTACTCATTTACATTACAATATATCCTAACTTCGAGTTTATGTATTGTTCAATATATATATATACCCTGTTGCTACTGTTAACTTCAACGTGACTTTCTGTTATTACAGTATGTTATATGGTAGTCCTAGAGTATGCTATAGATACCTGATATATAACTTCAGGAGAAGTTTGTCCCCATCGTAAGGGGGGAAGAGTGTAAGTAGCAGAAATAGAACACCCCCGGGTTGGAATGGGATGGGCCAACCCGGGGTCAGAGGTGAACTGTAGCACACGCCGGGAGGGAATTTTCACCGGCACTTGAACTTCACGTTGTCAACAAACTGTCCGGATCCGAGAAATGGATTGAACACATTTTTGCTGCCAGAGATGTTTGCTTGATAAGCAGGACAAGTATATTGAAGATCCTTCATTGAAGTACTGACCGAAGAATATACTGAAGAGAGAAGACGACATAAAGGATGTTGATGCAGGTATAGCTGTGGAGCTGACGACTTTGATAACCAGATAAGTTTCACAGAGGGCACCAAACACTGAAGAGACACAATTTCTGTTTATATTTGAGCCTGAGTTGGTACGATCCTGTGGGAAGACTTTGTGTCAGTGTGTTTCGACTCCAGAGCAGTCCGGGCTGGCCTGAGGGTATCCCACTGCCCAAACCAAGGGATTTGACTGAAGCCGGTGGATGCACGACAGAAGTGGCGGTGTGCTGAGATAGAACACCCACCTAGCTACAAGGGTCCTGCACACGCGACAGTGTTCTACCAACCACAGCAGACGTGCAAGGCTTGTCATCGACGCGCCGAGCCGATCTGAACCAGGTTTCCTGATCAGGACTCGTCAGAGATAAAAGAAAAACTTCCCTCCATCCGGACACCCACTTTGTGTGTGCACTGCTTCACCAGTAAGACAACAGACTTAGCTGCGGGGAGGTGACTATTCGTCAAACACCACAGGAACTTGCCTCCCGAGCGAAAGCTGGAGAGAGAGCTTCTGCAAATATTGGTGGAAGGGAAAAGTACAGCCTTGGTGCATTCCAGCAGGGAGGCAAGTTTGAGGAGGGGGACCTCCTGCCATGCTACACTGAGCCCATGCTCTCTGGTGGAAAGACTCATCGGAGGGATTAGCTACTAAAACAATTGGTGGAAAAACGGCACTGTAATCAGTTGACCGACACTTGGTGCTGCCACCATGGAGAGAGGAACAGGGGCTGCACTCGGGCTCTTGCTTCTGATGACACTGTACAAGAGTTCACAGGCCATAGATGCATCGACCTGCCGATACTCCCTGGGTATGGAAGACAAGAGGATCCCAGATGAGGACATCTCTGCAAGCTCTTCACATTTTGAAACAGTCGGCCCAAGTTACGCAAGACTAAGACAAGACGAGGGCGACTGAGCATGGTGTCCACGGAACATGGTCACCGACGAATCATACGAGTACCTCCAGGTCAACATGCGCACGCAGCGCTTTGTAACCATTGTGGCAGTTCAGGGGCGCTATGATGAGGGGATTGGGAGGGAATTTGCCCGCAGGTTCCGCCTCGAGTACAGCCGGGACGGAAAGGTTTGGAGACGATGGAAGGACAGGACAGGCAACGAGCTCCTGGAAGGGAACACTGACTCCATGACTCCAGTGTTGCGGGATCTGGACCCGCCGTTTATCGGGAACCACATCCGCTTCATCCCGCTCAGTAACGACCCGGGCGTGCCGCAGACCGTCTGCATGCGGGTGGAGATGTACGGCTGCGAATGGAACGACGGCCTGGTATCCTACTCCATGCCACCCGGACAGAGCCGCGGTGACGTGCTCGTGAATGACGCCACCTACGATGGCGCCAAAAGCGCGACCCTCGTGTACAGCGGACTCGGCCAGCTCACCGACGGAATAACCGGCCCGGACAACTTCCTCCTAGACGCCAGTGGCATGTGGACCGGGTACGAGTGGGTCGGCTGGAAGAACACGACCAAGGGAACGAAACCCGTGGAGATCGTGTTTGAGTTTGAGAACGTGAGAAACTTCACGACCATGAAGATCCACTGTAATAACTTCTTCCTGCGGGAGGCCAAGGTGTTTGACGAGGCAACGATATCCTTCAGCATCGAGGGGACCTACTACTCCCGCACTCCCATAGTGTACAAACACATACTGGACACTAACAACTACAGTGCACGATGGGTGACCATCAACTTAAACCACAACATTGGAAAGTTCCTGAAGGTTCGCTTCACCTATGCCGACAGTTGGATGCTCTTTAGCGAGGTGTCCTTTGACTCAGTGACTGGCAACTTCAGCCACCTTACTGACGAAGAGTATGTAGACCCAATGCTTGTGACAGAGACAGTGCCTCTGCCCATCGAGATTCCAAACGGGGAAATCGTTATGGACGGAAGCGCCACTTCTCTCACAACTGTAGACCCTAACGGCTCGGATCACACAGAAGTGACCACAGTTGACACGTCCATCACAGAAGTGGACGGTCAGAGTGGCCTCCCCAATGTGGCCATCATCGTGGGCATCCTGGTGGCCATTATCTTTGTCCTGATGGTGGTCATCCTGCTCATCTTGTGGAGACACAAGAGGAAGACCAAGGCCAAGCCTCCAAAAGAAACAAGAGGATTTGAGCAGCACATTGCGCTGAACGTGTGCATGCCTAACGGACACAACAACCAGCCCAGCGTGCGTCACGCCAACCCGAGCTACCACCGCATCCGCCCCAACGATCCCGAGTACCAGGAGCCGCACAACTTCCTGAGGAAACTTCCCGACCTGCCGGCACTTCCCGCGCCTGTCAGTCAGTCCAGGGAGAACTCAGGTGATGCTGTGTACGCTGAACCAGACTTCAGCCTCTGCGCCGCCAACCCGAACGTCAAGATCCCGCACTACGCCGAGGCCGAGATCGTCAACATCCAGGGCGTGGCGGGAACCAACACGTACGCCGTTCCCAACGTGAACATCGACATGTACTCCACCTCCACTCCACCTGAGTTCCCTCGACACAACCTACACTTCCAGGAGAAGCTGGGGGAGGGGCAGTTCGGAGAGGTTCACCTGTGTGAAGCGGAGGGGATGAGAGAGTTTGTTGGAGGAGACTTCTGCCTCACCCACACAAAGGACAAGCCTGTTCTGGTGGCTGTGAAGATGCTCAGACCAGACGCTACCAAAAATGCCAGAACCGACTTCTTTAAGGAAGTGAAGATCCTTGCGAGGCTGCGGGACCCTAACATCGTGCGACTGTTGGGCGTGTGCACGCGGGATGAGCCCCTGTGCATGATCGTTGAGTACATGGAGAATGGGGACCTGAACCAGTATCTATTCAAACACGAGTTCGAAGGCGCCGTACCCTCTGCTTCAAATGCACCCATGCTTGGCTTGGGGGCGCTGCTGTACATGGCTGCTCAGATTGCATCTGGCATGAAGTACCTGTCGTCCTTGAACTTCGTGCACCGTGACCTTGCCACCAGGAACTGCCTGGTCGGGCCGAGGCACTCGGTTAGAATAGCGGACTTCGGGATGAGTCGGAACTTGTACTGTGCAGATTACTACAGGATACAGGGCCGCGCCGTACTGCCGATTAGATGGATGGCATGGGAGAGCATTCTCATGGGTAAATTCACCAGTCAGAGCGACATCTGGGCCTTCGGCGTGACCTTGTGGGAGATCCTGACCTTGGCCAAGGAGCAGCCGTACGCCCACCTGAGCGACGAGCAGGTCATCGAGAACACGGGAGAGTTCTTCAAGGACGAGGGCCGTCAGGTGCTTCTCATTAAAACTGGTTTACCCTCTCAAGTTACTTACCTATGTAATTGATAGACCCAGCAATTGCACTTATGTCATTCAATATTTGTGATCCATGGCAGCGAGCTGATCATGCCTTTCCTCATCTTGCTTTCATCACTACCCAGGAGCTGAGGGAGAAGTGGAGGTCCCTGCTTAGCCATGCCTGCAACATCCACTCATGGGGGACCAGTGAAGTGTACCACAGGTGTCCACATCCACCCATTCCTAGGAGGCAGACTACCCGGCACACAGAGTGGCTGAAGGAAGACAGCCCAGCCCACACAGCCCTGAAGGAAGTCGTGATGGAAAAGGCCCTTATGAAGGATCTGGGACAGCTCACTGCGTTCAAACACACAGGTGAGTGTTACAATTTAGATTGTCTTTTAAAATTTCAGCTGTCATCTCTCACCATCTTTGTTAGATGATAATTGATCCCAATAAGAAACTACACATGGAAGTTGATCTGTGTTTGGTCCTTTAGGTAACATTCTCTCTCTATCTCTCTCTCTCTGCCTGGCTTTTTGACAAGGATTCAAGGGCTTTTCCCACTTCTGCTGCAAGGTCACTAGTGGCTGACAGGAACTATACATGTTTGCAGGTGAATGATGAGTCTGGTGTTAGAGCTATAATGGTTCATTTCTTGCTCTTGCTGCATTTCTCTTGAAGGGCAGTTTCAATAACTATGCCATAAGAAAATATGCAATTTATTCAATTTGTTATCTGCAGGAACCATAGAGGTTTACCACAACCTGGTACTGAAGTATGCACCCAAGCGATTGCGTTTTAGCTACTTGGGGATGAAAGCTAGACATCAGCTTGCTGCTATGGACCACAACGAGAACGCGCTCAATCCTCCAGCCTTAGATGAAGATGGTATGTGGCAGACATGTACTTTGAATGACTTTAGTTTGCATGTTTCAGGGTAGGTGGCAAACTACTGGTACTATTGTACTTTCACATCCTTGCTCTTTCAATAACTGAATACACATTACAGTACATTACAATCCTAATTTTTCAACATTGCAACATGTGTACAAAATGCACACAGGTAGATTATGCTCTCAGTATAACTTGCATCTGTTTATTCTGTTACAGTATTAGCCTGATAATTATTGTCCTTTCAGACGAATACATCTTTGTAGTATTTGAAGGCGAAGGTATAGTTTCCCCCTCAAATTTTATGAAATGTGTTTTTATATTGCTAAGCCTTGAATCTTTCCTTCATGTAGGTGAACCACAGTGTCGTCTGGTATGGTCTAAGAGGTCAAGTGACTGGGTGGTGAAGTTTGTGACAGGACCGCGTACCTACAACTTCAGACACCAGCTGATGGGCGACACGGTGGAACGGCTGAGGTCCGGACGGTGGAAGATGGGGGAGGCTGTGTTGGCTGCACCACCAACCATCCCTCGGAACATCGCCCCAGTTGAGCCCCCAGACAAGGAGACAGCCATTGCAGAGTTTAAGTCTAGGTTTGCTAGGTTTCACACTGTGTAATTTTGAAGTGCTTTTTGATTATCTGCACAGGTGAAATATAACAGAGACAGATACTTTTATTTTTTGACAGTTTTTTATGTCTGTTGCACAAGACCATTATCCTACACCTTACATGTAGTACATATAGGTGTTTACATTATTTTGCATTGTTGTGTCAGTGATTCTGTACATCATGTAATTTCTTTAGACTGTTCCATGTATCTAAATCAAGTCATAATCTTCATAATCTAACCTAATTCAATGCTTTCACATTGATAGTAAAAGTATAAAGTTGCATTTTGGCTTTCCTAAGGAAGTCCTAATGAACGGGAAAACCAGCAATCTGTCTTCATATGTAGATGTTGTATATAGATGGCAAGCATAAATGTTGCACTTTTCTTGTTACAATGCTTTTATTGTTGCCTACATGTAATCTAGTAGTTCAGACTTGAATTTTTTAGCAGTGTAGTCTATTCTTGCAGTGTGCTCTGAGCATATGTAATGCACAGTAGATGTTCAATGATGATGATGATGCACAGATATTAATGGTGTTTGGTGACACAACGTTCCAGAAACTACAGTGTTACACAATTATAAGTTGACATATAATTGTCATTTTGGTTTGTTATACATGTAATTGCAAAATGCATTTTTTTCCAATGGTGATGTTATTTTTTCCAATGGTTGAAAGAATTTTTTTTTCCTTAAGACCTATATCTTGATGTATATATCTACTTCAGTATAACTAGGCTATGTCCTAGAGTCCATGATAAGAGATGTCATAGTTAGAACAAAACATGATACAATGTAACGTAAGTGCAGCTTTACAGTCATTTTTGGATCAAGACCACAGAAACAAAATAAAGTTTAGTCATCTGCCTCCAGGAATCCAACGTATACTCCACTTGGCTCAGGATAGCGTTCTCGAATGTATCTGACCACACAAGATGGCACTACTCTTCTCACTCTCCCTCCCAGGCGCCCATGTATCCAGCAGGTGAAACTTGTGTAGGCGATGAGTCGCATTGCTCTGGTGATCATATAAAATTAAAAATACTTTAGTTACAACTATTGACGAGTATGGGGTTGGTGGTACAATATGTCAAACAGACATTTAGAAGTTCCACCATATGCATTTGTATTGCAAAACAAAGGTATGAGATCGTGGAACTCTAGTTGTCATTGAATTCTGTTGAAATTTTCAGTCTATATGGCAGAAGTACGCATGTAGCTAGCTGTTTTCTTTATTTAAAACAAATAGCACCTCAGATTTCAAAGCCTTACAATTCCAGATGGAACCAAAAATGTGACGACCACTGTACTAGCTGTGAGCACAATTATTATGGGAAAATGTAAATCCGACTAACACATGTGTCTAAGATTACAACGCATACAGAAATGTAATGTAATTAGCAGACAAAAAGGTGTTGTTTTGACAAGTTGTTATAAACCACAAAACAGGAAAGGTAGTATTCTGCCACCTCAATTCCTTTCTGTTGGGCATATGGGCGGTCGATATAAATAAATCCGTCAAAGGGTTGAGTGAATTGCAACGTAAACAAACCGCGGTACCGACCTGTTAGAGACCGGCTCCTGCACGCCCTGCTGGATCAGATCCCACCGAAAAATCAGCAAAGTTCGGAGGTTTGCCGGGTGGAGAATCACATCGAAGTCAGGGTGATTTCTGATGCATCGGTGGTCTGTACCGACGTTCTTGTCAGTGTCTGTCAGCTCTGGTAGGTCGTGACAACAAACACTCTCCCGTACAGAGGGCATTTCCAGGCAGTTTCTGTTGTCTTCGTCTTGTCCACAGCGGCACCAGTTCCGGTTCCCCAACCTCCAACGCTCTGTCTCCACATCACCGCCATCCCAAACGTTGTCATCGCCTGGATCGGGCTCAGAGTCGCCACTACTGTCAGTTTGTGGTTCAAATCGGAAGGGTTGCACGCCCGCCATTGTTGTTTACGCTAGTAGCAGAATGAAACCTTTTACGTCACAGATTCAGTCGCAGCGCCGCCTAGCGGACAATCTGGCGCTAGCCGCGAAACATCAATCGGGTCAGATACCACGGCAAATATGTGCGGGGTTGGCAGAAACCAATAAATCACCATTTACAAATAGGATTTTGGGTAGAAAGGCCCCAAAACTGAAAGTATTGGACTTCCCCTTTAACCCCTGTAGCAATTTCAAACATAGCTGTGACCCCTGTCTTTGTTTTGATACAACACTTGGAATTTTGGTACAAAGATTTGAATATGTTTATGTACTTCTCAGGTATGCCATATGTTCTTAAGATTTTCCATAGTGTGTCTCTGTGCACTCTGTGTCTCCGTTCAGAATATCCAAAAAATAAGGGGGGGAGATCTGCAGCTGAGAAGGCATTCGGGATCACTCTTGACTCTTACCTTTCAAGCACTTATGTAACTAGCACTCCACGAGCTAACATTCCTCTTGACACCATGCCATCTCCCATATCCGTCATTCCTTCCACCCCTGAACTCCAGAACAGTGTTGGCAGGCTGTGTCCTAACGATGACACCACCAGTACTAATGATGTCACACTGCCATCATTATCTCAGCCAGTTTCACAGGCTACTCTGACTCCTGGAGCACAGGTAGCTACTTTGACTCCTGGAGCACATGTAGCTACTCTGCTCCTGAAGCACAGGTAGCTAATGCACTACATACTGTTCAGTCACTATCACTTGATAACCAAAAGTCATTTCTTTCAGAGCTGTTTAAGTCATGGTCACCTGCATATGCTAATGAGCTGACTGATCACCTCTTTCACACTTTAGCACTTTCAAAGTCCATCTCTACCTATCCCACTGACTTTGCCTCTCTTTCGTCTGATGCCATGGTCAGGCTACAGACAGTTGGAAAGCCAATATATAATATATAAGTTTGCTCAGTGTGTGGGGCAGAACAGACCCGGAACAGAGGAGCCCCTCATGCCCTTGCACAGGATGCCCTTTGGCCTGGTGCAATATCAGATAGAGTTCTTCAGTTGCACTAATGTACAGCAGGTATTTACAGCTGGTGTTATATAGCATTCTGCAGTTAAGCAGACCCCGTTGGGCTGCATCCATGTCCCGTTGGAC